TATTCAATAAGTTGCAGCTGCCCCAAACAGACCTTAGTCAAGCCAAAGGAACATACTATAGCTCGGTATCTGGGAGGCCTAAGGCTAACTATCAATAACATTATGCAATTTTAGCCCTATTGGTCACTAGAAGATGTTCGGACCTTAGCATTGAAGGTGGAAAGACAACGAAAACAGAGTAGGTAACTACCGCCATTCAGACAACCACCTGCCGTTGGAAACATTAGCATGAGCACGCCTCAAGTAAGACTGTAAATGAACCAATGCACCCGATGAACAACTCGAACTCGGCTCAATTAAGCCTCAATCATATTTGTTTAAATTAATAAATAAAAAACTTAAACAACTTTTAAAAGCTTAGAGCTTAAATGAACTAAATATGAACATAGTTGAACGTATTCATTTATGTTCATGAACAAACTCACTTGTTGTTCAACAAATAACTCATTAAATACTCGATATTAAGCTAGATGATAGCTCGTATTATATATGATATATTATTTAAATAAAATTTAATAAAATAAAATTTGTTTAAAATGTAAATTTAATAGTAATATATTATTATATCAATAATATTTTTTGATTAATTATTAATTATATATTTATTTTACTAAAGTTTAGATGTTGGATGAGAAAATACATAAGACTTATGTGTCATGTATGCAATGCCCCTTAAAATTAAAAATAGACCCCAACAAACTTCACTTTTCCACTGGTCTCTCACAATTTCATGTCTCCTGGTTTCGCCTGAAACATACAAAACCCTAAGTCACTAGGCTATGCAAGCATCGAAGGCAACAACGAGATCGCAGTGTGCAAAGATCGCTGAAACTATAGTCTCTCGAGTATCTCCCTTTTCCACTTTGCTCATAAAATCCTACCCGACTAAAAAATACAATGCAATCATTATAAGTTATATATGATTAAGAATAAGGATGGTGCAAGAACTCAAAATAAAAGACATCTACAAGATTGTCCAAAAAAGCTAGAAAAAAAAAGGTGCATATCATTATGAGAAGACCAACACCTACATCTAAATGTAGGAATTGAGTTGAAACTTGGACGTATCATTATGCAAAAATATGAGAAATTAAATTTTATATAATCATGGTTCATGAGTTGCATTTCATTTTTATAGAGTTCAAAATCGATAAATTAGTCAGTGCAATCAGATTTGTAAAATTATTTATTGAATTTTTTATGCGAAATCTAAATATTTGTTTGAGTATTTAGCGTGTTTATTATCTCATTTAAATACTCGTTCACTTGTCATAAACAAATCAAGTTCAAACAATAAAAAATTTAAACAATTCAAGCTTGAACAATATGAACAATATACAATATATGAAAGCTCGACACAAGCCCAAGCTGAATATAAACAACTTATAATTATACCAAGCCAAGTCCGAACTATGATATACTCGGCTCGACTCGACTCAATTACGACCCTATCCTCAGGGAGTTGAGAAAACTGGTCAGGATAAGAACATAGTCATTCGGATAGAGAAGAATACTGAGACGAGTAGAACAATCACTACAGTCCCAACCAAAAAATGCTTCAGATATCATAATTTTAGACACATCGCCTCCAGTTGCCCTAAGAGTCGGATTGTATCTTTACCCCATGGAAGTAGCTGAAGAAAATGGTGACGAGCATCAACTTCCAGCAGATAAGGGTAAAATGCTTGTCGTTCAAAGAAAAGCACTCTCCTTCCCCTTCCGCGTCACACTCATGACCCAACCTCTTTTAGTCATCACTCTTAGGATACACTTTACTCGAGTTTGTTTGTGTCTATTGTTGCATTTCCCTTTTAAGAGCGTTTGATTGTAACCCTATTTGCTTTTGAGTAATAATATTTGCTTTCCATATTGTGGTTTGGGTTAACTCTCGTATCATATAGTGCAGTAAGAAAAAATAACTCACTTGCAGGTAAATCTTCCGTAGTTTATTATATGAAACTTAGGAAAGTTGACCGTAAACAAGCTTAAACACTGCTCAAATAAAAACATAATAAAACATTAGTTAATAATAAGTAATATGCAACTTCATAACTAATATGAGGAAAAAATTCCACTCCACCTAAATTACATCAATAATTATAGCATAAACAGAAAGCAGAAAAAAAAAGCTGAGGACAACTAAAAACTAACCAAACCTACTGGCTTTCAAAGTATCTCAACGCCCCTTCCCATCCGCCATATGCCAGCCTACTAAACTAGTAATTTTATAATCAAGGGACCTCCCCGGCCTCTCTCTTACTCTGTTTCTCTCCTCTCTCACTTTATTTCCAACTCCACATACTGTTGTTCATATAAAAATATGTAGCATACGAAACATGAAACCACTTCTAAAGAAATGAGCGCCTGAAACAATAATTTGATTGAAGGCGGTTACACTGTCCATGCAAAAAAGGAGCACGAGAAACATGTACTGCACCATTGCTTAGCTTAACCCAGCAGAAACTTATCACCCAGAACTTGGCGAATAGATCTGGGATATGGAAACATCAGAAACAGACAGTAATGAACTACAGAATGAAGCCCTACAATGAAAAAATAAAGAGTAGCATGAAAATAATAAGCGTTCAAGACAAATTAATAGAAAAAAGAGTTGAATTAAGAGCAGTGAGTATTTGGCTTTTTTTCTAAGATTAAACTCTCTCCTTACCTTTAGCTAAGACTCACTTCTCTCTAACACACCCCCACCCAGCAAGGCACGTTCTGTACAACACTGCAGGCATTGATGATTGCCAAAAAATTATGAGAGAACTCAAGGAAAATACAATGATGATGAAGTTTTAGAGACTGAGGTCAAGTAGATAGATACAGTGAGAGCTGAGAGATAACACTTGAAAGCCTCACGAATAAGTTGACATCTACTGCAGAAGAAGGTACTTGTCAAAGAAGTAATCAATTACAGGTTTACCCATAGTTGAAGTTGGACAAGAAGGTAATGCTGAGCATTTACAAAATTTTCCTAGGAATATATAATTGACATATGGTACCAATCTGATTAAATTTTAACACCATAGAAGCTATAAGTTGACCAAGCTTCAATATATTCAGGCAAGACTAAAAAATCAACTCTTCACATCCAGCTGGTTTAGGCCAAGTTCTCCCTCTTGTTTAGTCCCACATCAAATTTTCCCAGGAATATGAATTGGACAAAAAGGGGTAAGATAAGTAGAACATTTGTCAATTTTATATTTCAAATGTAACGACACCATATTAGCACTCTCAACTTTTACTTGCAATGTGCCTTCTATATCCTTTTTAACAATGAGAAAGCTACCAAGTCCATGAGAACCATTTATAACAATAAATTGTTGAACCAATGACAAGAAAAGTACCTAAGTGTTCACTGTCCACATCGAACAAATTAACTCATATATTGTTTAATTATTCGAGCATCATTAGCACTATAAATTTCACCCCACAAAACAAGTAATCCCATGTATTGTTTCAAAGTCATTACAAACTCAACAAATTCCATCTTGAAATCACTAGAATTGATGAATGACCCCTATGAGGAATCCTAAGCTAAGAAAAGCTCTATGCATGCACAAGCCATACCATACTTAAAGGTGCAAGTATGCTCAAACTTCCCAGAGAAGCCTAGGGCAGCTTGGCGCCTCTAATAAATATCCATAAGAATCCAAAGATTTTTATAGTTTAATGAAGTTATCGCACACTCCATAATTTGCTTATTTCAGAAGATTTCTTTCCATTATGAGATGTGCAAAGAAATCACTTGAAACCAAACCAAACCCAAACCCAAAACAAGAGATTGAACCCATGTTTTGTTTCAATTTTCATCAAAGCTAACTTTTGCTCCACGAAACAACAGATCTCATGCATTATTTCAATGCCATTATGTATGGCCCCAAATTAGCCAATTAGTAGATTTTGATGATATAACAACCCACCTTGTACGAGAAAACAAGCTTGCTGCCTCTCCTATAAGCTCCATGCACTAGGATATTCCCTCATTGGAGTCAGCCCCCAATGCGGTATCCTAGGCTAAGCAAGCACTAGGCATGCCTAAGCCTTAATAGACTTGAAGGTGCAAGTAGGCTTGGACTTCCTATAGACAGGGTTGGGCATGCTTGAACTCTCGAACAAATCTTCAGATAAATCTAAATGAGATTTTTCTAGTTTGTTATATGGTCCGTAATATGCTTTATTCTAAAGGAACCATTTCCAATAAGAGGTGTGAGAAGACCTCAACCCAAAATCCAAATCACAGCAAAGGATTGATCAATTTGATTTCAATTTTAAAGAACTTAGTTTTCCTTTTTACATGCTTGCATAAGCAACGACTCATTAGTATGTTTTTGTTGCTTGAAATCGGAACCGTAAAAAATAACAAGAAAAAGCAATATGCATCACATATGATTACCAAACCCGCCCATTTTAGAGGAAACTGAGCTAAATTGCATAGCTCACAAAATTCCCTTTTGTTAAGTGACCCTATATCAGAGCAACCAAACCGAATATAACCAGTTTAAATCATGCTACATAACTTCTACGTGTAACCCAAGAACTTCACCTGATTGTTTAGTTTCGTTGGTTCAATCACAGGTTCTATTTTGGCGGCCTGGTTTCAGATTATAATCTAGTTGCTTGGCTTTGTTGAGTTAGATTCTACATAGAGATATCTCTGCAGACATGTAAAAATTTCCCAACGCACTAATGCTCCTCCTTGAAAGTATTAAATTAGCTGCTCAGCCAACAATATAGGAGTTAAATAATAAAATCTTCTAAAGCATCACTAGTCAACAATGACCTACCACACTCATGTCAACTTCATCAGCCTCCTGCACCTGCCTTTCTTCTGGATGTAGCAACTACAAACCAGGAATCTTTTGCATTTCTTTAGTTAACAAATGAAAGTTTTTTCCCTCTGCCAACAAAAGTATTTCACGCCCCTCAATTAAACAATACCCAAAACTGCATACTAACAAAGCCAATCAAAACACTGAAATTAAAAAAAAAAAAAAAATTCTATGCTTTTCACTCATATTTACCAAAAAGAAGCCCCCAAAATTTCTATACTAAATACTAAAGACATTAAGCAGGTCAAAGTAGCAAGTCATTGCATCATTTGCTTCAACCATCTGATTACTGAGGTCAATTTCTTTTGGTTAATTCCTCGTACCTTTAGATGATTTTTCTTTTTGAATAGGTTCAAAACATCAAACCTTCCACTTCTTAAACATAAGGTTGAGATCTAACTCCTGCAACGTGCAACACCCTTTCAACTACTTGCACTACCTGTAGCTACTATTTGTCTATAAAGAGCCACCTTCATACTCTTCACACCCACCAAACCCAAAATCTAAAAAAACCCGATAAGTACAATATCAAATTACTTTATTAGCAGAAAAAGGCAATAAATGGCAACGATGGAAGATTTTCCTATTAATGCTGTGGTTCAGGCCCATTTTGTCTTTAAACAAAATTCTACAAATTTTTTAACGCATGCAAATACCTAAAAGAGACCTAAGAAGCCACATATCTACCAAGAAACCAGTTGGGAATGAAACCCTTTATCTTAGGAATAAAATAAAGAATAAACAAAGAAGGAGCTGAAGAAGTTTGAGTTCTAGATAAAAAACCCTTAGAGATATGAGATTGTATTGTATGATGTTTCAATTGTTTGACTACTGCTCCAATGGAATTGAGAATGGACCGAAGAAAAAAATGATGTCAAGTTTGGTAAAACATCAGCTAACAAAATATAACCTTCTTTAAAGTAAGGCCAACTTTTCTTTATCCTTTTTCCGCATGAAAATAAAAAAGAGAAAAACAGATGTTGCAGCAAACCAACAATTGCCCGGTGTAACTCAAAGACTAAATAATGATGGAAAAAAAAACACTCAACGATCAAGAACAATCAACAAATTATATTTTACAATTACAAATGGTTGTCATGGACTGAATAGCTTCCACATTATTAATAAAAAAAATAAAAAGTTTGCATAAAGTTGGAAGTAATGAATATAGTGCAAATTGACATGATTTAACATTAGAAATGCACAGACCAGCATTTAGAATAATTTATGCTATGCCAAGGAAGACGTTACCCGTACAAAGTCTGATGATGGAATGCAATCAGATCAAAAACTTATAGAACTTTTTCGATATGGTATATCAATTGGAGCCTTGCATTGCCAAACTCATTATCCAAGTCCTTCAATATAAACCAATATGTTCGAGGCTATTATATTCATTCATATAAACAAGAGAAAAAAAAAGATTTGCAAATTAAAGAAAGCCAAATAGATAATATATATATTTTTAGATGAAAACCTAAAAATAGAAAAAAGTAAAATAATAGTATATGCAACAATCAATTAAATTCAAAGAAATTAACAATAAATTTGAACCACAAAAAATCAACAAGAAATTGATTTTTTTTATTATGTAATTGAAATTCTATTTGTAGCAAAATTGACCAAAATTATGATTTGGAAGATCAATGTTTGTATTTCATAATAAATAGATATTATCACAAAACAGCTAGAGAGCTTTCTCATGATTTTCAAAACTTGAGATAACATGTGCAGAAGGCCTCTTCATGTTCCTGTGATATAATACAAAAAATCTTAGCCTTTATAATTGAACTTGTGGTAACAAAATCATCCAAATAATTAAAAAATTATATGAAAATCTTCTGAATATAACCAATCATCTAATCTCACATTTAATTTGGCCCAAATAAAACAATTCCAATTTCCCGCAAATAGCAGGCTAGAACAATTTCTCAACTTTAAAATTCCACCATCTTATATCCAAAAGCAATACATTTTTTTATTGCTTTCTTTATGATCTTAAAATAAACATCAATAACTACTACTCTATCTTGTAGGGTTAGACTCTCGCCCAAATTACCTTATAGTTTAATAAGAAGAAGCTTCTTTCCTTACATTTGAGAAGTAATTTATTTGTGTTTTGATTGCTCCAATTTCACACAAATGTTTTTTCCATTTCTTAAAGTATGTATTCACTATTGCAAGATCATAAAAATGCTGAGAAAATAAAAATAGCATCTCCTATTTCATTTTTATATTAATGTACATCCACAATGGAGCCTCCGATAGCCATCCCATTTTCCCAATTAAATCACCTCCTACAAATCCTTCGCTTTCTTAGGCACGAACACTAAACCCAATATTGCTTTTTCAAACTATATTTCAATCCAGCTTGAGGTGCATAAACACTAAGAACATCTATAATATCTTCATGGATAATTATTTCAATAGCAATCACCCTATCACTAACCATATTGAACTCAACAATCTTATCTTTTAACACTCTTATCTATTATTATCCCAAGTTCATTCCAATTATTAACCATTCCAAAATACAATAACTTATAACCTTCTCCATCTTATAAAAACATCAATGAAAACACATAAATAAAAATTAAAAAAAACATATATTAAGCACTTGAATCAAAATCCATAGGGCAATCATACATTATGCATGTCACACTAAAATTGCATACATAATAAAGGGAAAATGGGTACATAAACAATACACGTAAGAAATTACACAAATATACTATATATAGCACTTGTGCTTAGATATTGAAAACGTAAGACAAGAATTGTGTTGAGCTGAGCCACAAATATCATGGATTGAAACCGGCTTGGTCATACTAAAATTTATTCTTCTGCTCAAGCTCGAGTCAAGCATTCACATATATGTTTTTACATGATTAGATTTCTCTATGATTCTGCTTGCTTGTTGTTGAATTGCTAAATTAAGCAAACGATTAATTATTTGAGTTGATAAGCAAACTTAAAAAATAAAAATATTTTAGCTTTTTATATTAAGAAATAATTTTAAACATCAAATTGAACAATTAATTCGATAAATAAGGAACTAGTAGTTAACTACTTGACACCAATTAATAAGTATTAAATAAATGGGATAATAAATATGTCACAAATAATTTTTTTTAATCATAAAACAAAAATAAATACTCACTTATTCATTGAAATAAAAAAAATTAGAATAGATTGCATCGAATCGTTACGCAACTTCACTAAAAATAGATTAATGAATTTGAAATAGGCAAAAAGCTAAAAACATTTACCTAGATAAAAAAACATTTCATGGGAAATCATCTTGTGCCTACTAATCTGTAAAAGCATTTGATGCCTTTGTAGGTCCCAATCTCCTTGAAGCCTCTTGACCTCGAGAGCTAAAGATAATGTGCTCATGGTTTCACTGATTTGTAAACTGTACGACGGTTAAGATAAAGTAAAATATAAGATGTCCTCATGGAAATACCTCTTGCTGGTTAAGTTCAAATCTCCTGTTCTTACCTCTTGCTGGTCGATGGCTGCAACTAATGGTTGAAGCAACATGTAAGCATTCTGAGCTGAAGGTAATGACAATGACAATATAGACGGGCAAACAGAAGGAGATGCAACGAAAAATAGCAGCTGCAGGTAGTAGATGGGGCTCAGTAATAGCAATGCAAATTCAATGCCCATGGGCGGCAAACCATCGTAACATATTTGAGAGAAGAAAAGCTCTGGATTTATAACTAGATGGATGCACACCATGCGTCCATAATTATGATTAACTCAACCATGGTTAAAACTGTTGTAATGGGTTTTATAGTTGATTTCAATAGAGAAAGCTAAAAATCCTTCTTTATTTACATATTTTAGTACTATTTATTAATCAATAAAATTTGTCGCAAATGCTACAAAACAGAGTTAAAAAATTCATCTACATGCTACCAATGTGTATATATATATATATATATATTGAGAGTTGACAGATTTACTTAATTCTACATAAAAGAAAACTCAACTACGGTGATCTAACTACTTGCTTTTAGTAATTATCTGCACCTCATCTTTTTTATGTGCAATGCAAAAAAGTTTTTTGGTTTATAAATGTTTATATATGGCACTTCTCATCATCTACTTTAGCCATGAGCATGACTAAGGGCGAGAAATAAATAATTTCTAGTTGATCCCTTCCTATCTTCAACTTGGAACATAAAATTTAAATAGATCCGGCTCAATATTTGTAATCTTTTTGCTTTTTTTAAAAATTAGCTATATAATACATACACATTTATGTATCTATGTATGTATATAGATAGCTAGACACGTGTAGTATGCATGTATATATCATCATCATTTGGACTTGATGAATTCTAATATTCCAATCATTCTAACTTACAGCTACATGAAGTGTTAAATTTATTAAGCACAAATCAATTTTTAAAAACTTTTATCCATGTTAACTTAGGTCGGCTCCTTTCCTTTTTAAATCCTTCAGCATTAATTTTATCAACTAATCCAATGGGTGCATTCTTTACCCATGATTGCATATTAAAAATCGACTAACTCTACTTTTTATTACCTGTAATAGATGTAAATCCAACCTCCAACATAGTCATCCCTTAATTCATCTGTCCTAATTTTATCATAAATTTATGCTATAATTCTCATTTTTACCACACTCAACTTGACCATCAATGATTTTTTCACCATCCAACACTCAAATTCATCCAACATAGTCACTTTAATGGCAGATTTTTTAAATTTCCTATAATTTTCCAATCAATGATATTGTTTTTTACAACATACTTCCAAGATATTTTTCTATTTTAAGCATACATCCTTACCTATATCGAGCTTATCACGTTAGAATCACTTTAGAATCATCTTTTTTACAACATAGTTCATTATCTAATAGGCCAAACAAACTTTAAGCTTATCACGTTAGAATCACTTTATCTTGACATGAAAAGTGTAATTAATCAATAAAAACAAGCCTCAACAGCAGTAACATAGACATAACTTTTAACTGTGTTTTTTGCGACTGCTGTTTCACTCAAATGAAAAATAGAGTTATCTAGGCTGCATGTTATCACAATGCTAGTGCAATTTATCAATTCTTATTGAGTCAATATGTATATCTTCCCAATTCAAAATGATCAAAGTTGGTTCCTGCCTTCTTTGCCATTGCTTCTAACTATCAAATAGTTGCTTTGGAAGACATTCCTTGTTCACTTTATTAGTACAACAGTACCATGAGGACTGCAATGATATTATAACTTCAGGGGCATTCATATTATTTATTCATTCCATATTGTTGCTATAAGGATCACAGTACTACTTAGAAAGACCAATCGTGATTCAAAGCTTTTACTCTCATTTCTTTTAGACAAAAACATAATTGATATTAGATTCGTCCTAATTGGAACATCTAGATAATTGCTATCATGAATCAACCAACAGCCGCATCCTTGAGATATTGGCAAACCAACCTGACATGTGGGTTATGGATAACATAAAACTTGAGATATCGACAGCCCTACAGCCTTTAGTGGCAGTCACTACTTAACATTTTCCTCCTCTAATCTAAATATTAAAATTGGTTTAAACATGCGAGCATACATGCAACAAAGTTTCCCTAAAGATCAATTAGATTTATAAGAAACCGTATCAGCTGCTCACTATGCAAGGTTCCTTTTCCAATAAGAATGATAGTATAAATGACTGTGACCAACAATTACTTGGCATAAAGCTGATTTAAAAAACTTCAACGTCTATCGCACGGCTCAAGTAAAACATGAACTAACCCGCCTCTAATTTATTCCAATTAATATTGACATCAATCTAGGATCACTATAATGTGTGGGAGAGATCAATAGAAGCATTAGGTAAGTTCTAGGACAAAATAGAACGGTGAAAAAATAATGACAGCGGAGAAATGGATGCACTTGACGGCTCGATAGAAAACCAGAACAGAAAAAGTGTAGGTTGGCTGAAAAATTGGCTGCGTAGGTCTTTGGAAGTCCAAAAGAAAATCACTTTCTAAAGCCAATCTAGTTACAGACACACCAAAACTGAGAAAAATCAAAGGATACAACATTTCAAACAAAAAAGAACTAAAAAAAAAAACGGGTCTATATTGCATAAATCAAAATCCCAAAAGTGTTCAAACAAAGTTTTAATAATATATTTATATGCAGGAAACCAAATACCATAAAAATTACCTAAATAAAGCAGCTAATAATTGTATAATAGACTGGCCAGCACAAGAGCATAAGAATTCCCCAAATTAGCCAGAGGAGAACTGGTTGGACAAGTTTTGGAACTAACACCAACACTTCAATTTTTTATCGTAAGCAGTCTGACATCCACATTATTCTCCCTGGGTAAAAGGGGCAGCACATTCCCGTAAGCAGTCCGACATCCACATTATTACATTATTCTCCCTGGGTAAAAGGGGCAGCACATTCTTTGTGGGAAGCATCTAGATTCTCTTAGTTCGGCAATAGGTCTGCGAAGTTAAAGGTAGCAGATATGTTGTAGTCTCATAAGTCAATTTTGTCAGCATTGACGTTGATTTTCTTGGAAACTCTAAATGATCTGTCAACTCTAGGCTTGAGCTTTACAAAAATACCCACAAACTCATTCTTTAATCTGATCCACATCAAATCTCCTTCCTTAAAGAACATAACCTTCCTAGACCAGTTAGCCTAATTCTTATACTTTGTGTTACGACCAGGCCCGAGGCTTAGAATTAACCAAAGGAGATACAAAATGTTGGACGGTTAGAACTAAGATTTCTATTTTCATTTAGCATTTAACAAATGAAAGAGTTAATAATCAAATTAAATTAAAGCAATATAATTTATTTTAATTCATTACAAGATTTCTATTTTCATTATAAACAATGATTTTTCTATTGTTCATCTTTTAAAAAACTAATTACAACGGAAAAATTAGTTTAAAATAACTATGAGTTAACCAAAATTAGTAAATAAACTACAATAACAAAAAAAAAACATATACATGTCAGGTATGATTTTAATAGATCAATATAAATATTTGATATATTAAAAAAAAATGATGTTATTCAAAGAAAATTTTATTATATCAATAGCATATTTATATCATTTTATATCTACAAAACCGTCACAAGAGCACCGTCTAAAAATTTGTGTCAGTTAAAATACTTCAAAATGAATATCTTTTTTATTTACGTGCACTGGTACCTTAGTGTTCTCCTAGTAGTACCATAAAATGATGACTATATTATAATCAGTCATACACATCCAAGCAGTCAATATTTTCTTTAATATTGAAATAAAAAAAAGATACAAAAAGTTGTATGAGAGGGCCAATAGATGATGCCCAACTCATACGATACATCGTACAAAGATATCCCAACAAAAATATACAAAAGACCCAAATAAAGAAAACATGCAAAAACAAGTGTCTATGAACAAGGCAGTTTAGACCTGCCTTTTCCTTTGGTTCTTGGAGCGGATCCAGATAGCAAACTCTGAAGTGTTGTTCCATTGCCAGGAGTGACCAAGGTATCATCCATTAAGTTTCCAAGCTGAATAGTGTCCCCAGCCTTCTTCCTCCCTTCCTCCACCGCGAAGTGTAAACTTGCCATTCTTCTTCCGAAGACTGTTCAGTTTGATCCGTAAAAGAAAAGACAATTGCAGCGATGAATTCCTGAGTTTGTGTAGGATAATCTTCTAATACTCGGGAATGTTGACCTCATTTTTGAGGTCATTACTCCTTTCCTTAGGATCCTAGGATCTAGTTCTAGGGGTTCTATTGACTATCCTAGAAAATTAGAAATTGGTACCCACCATTTTAGAAATTCCAAAACACTTCTTATTTTCCTGTGATGTCTAGCATTTATGGTCTCAAACTCATCGTCTTATGTACGAGCGGTTAAGGGCTATTGTGGGCTATTGTGTGAAGACTCAAGGAGAAGTTCTCAATAGGAACTTAAGCCCTAGGAAAACCTCCTCACGACTTTATCATCATATACACAAACAAAATGCACCAAATTCACTAAATTGCACAAAATCGGACTTCAATTAAGCCCAAATGATGGTGGAAATGTGAACTTCTCTGGATGACCCCCGATGACAAAATGGACTGTGCCAACGCGTCTGAGACACCAATTTTAGTAGAAAAAGACACCTATATTGTCATATTTCCTACACAAGAAAATTGGCATGTAAATCGATGAACTCGTTAAAACAACATCCGACGGCAAAACGGACCGCGCCAGCGAGTCTAGAACGTCAGAATTACTTAAAAATGATACAAATTTTGTTATGTTTCGACGCACGAATAAAACAATAATTAAATTTTTATTTTTGTTTAAATATTAAATATTTTTTTAAAATATTAACTATTTTTTTAAATACCCTTAAATTGTAATTATACTAAACCTAAATCCTATTTACACCTCTACCCGCACGCTTAAACTCTCATTCAGCCTTGTGTTCGGCTCGATCCCGCGGCTCGTCTCCCTCTCCTCCGTGTGCCCTAGATCCACGATGGATCC